GTGTATCTGCATACATTGCTAGCTGGGTTTTCTGGAACTTTAGAATGTCATTCAGATAGATATTGAATAATACCGGACCCAGGATTGATCCCTGCGGAACGCCTGCTGCTATCTGCTTTAGTGCTGATTTTTTATTATTAACTGTTACCCTAAAATTTCTGTTCTTCAGGTATGAGCAAATGAGTTTGATAATTGAACAAGGATACTGGTGCTGTATAAGTTTGTATATTAATCCATCAATCCAAACCTTATCAAAGGCCTTCTCTATGTCCAGCAAGAGCATTACCGTTACTTTGTCGTTGTTGTAATTTGTGATGATGTCGTTAGTGATTCTGAGAACCTGCTGCGTGGTGTTATGTTTTTAACTAAATCCAAATTGTTCGTCTATTGTTAACCTATTATTTCTTTCGTGTTTCTTCATTCTTATCAGTATTACTTTTTCTGTGAGTTTTGCTATTGATGGCAGCAGGCTTATGGGTCTGTAACTGCTTGGACTTGCTCCACTTTTACCAGGTTTTTGTATAGATATTATGTCTGCATTTATCCACATGGAGGGGAAATAACTGAGCTTAAACATTGCGTTCATAATATACATAAGTTGAACAATAGCCTTGGTGCTTAAGTTTCTCAGAACTATATTTTGAATGCCATCGTACCCCGGAACTTTTAGCGGCGGAAGTTGCTTGATTATTTTCCTGATTTCTTTTGGTGTGGTTATTACGCTTTTGTAGTCATCGCTTTCTACGTTGTTCTCTCAGCTGTAATCAATGACCTGTTCTATAATGTTCTCTTGTTCATATGCGTTAGTTGTGACATCTATTTTGTGTAACTCCTCGAACTGTGCAGCGAGCATTTCTGCTTTATCCTTATCAACGAACGCGACGCTACTGCCACATGTGAGCGTTGGTATTGGGTTGTACTTTTTCTTCAGTGTTTTTGTCATTTTCCACAACGTGTTATCCGTGACTTTCAAGCTATTAAGTTTATCATTCCATCTTTTGTTGACATGTTTATTTATCTCTGCGCGTATTAGCCTTGTTTTGGCTGTGAATTGTAGTTTGTATTCCCGTTGTCTTGTACGTTGCCAGATTCTGCGAATTCTATTTCTTTCCTTGATGAGGTTTAGGATTTCAGTGGGTAGTTCTTCTTTAATTGAGTTTAATTTATTCCTTTTTAGTACTTTGTCCGTGCATTTCTTAATATTATTAGTATAGGCTTCTACGTTTTCTTCTAGCTCTGCAGGGGTAGTTATTTTACTATTGATTTGGGTCGTGATATTCATTATCCTGCGAAATTCCTTCCAGTTGGCTTTTCTATATGCATATACTGATTTGCTTGCCTGTTCACGTGAGATGTCACCGACTCTTAGCTAAACTGGCCTGTGATCTGAATTCAGCTCATTGCTCACTCTTATCTGGGATATGTTCTGTATATTTTTGACTATTGCAATATCTATGGTTGTGGGCATCACATTATTTATTGGGTAATGTGTCGGCTCATCTGGATACAGAAGGATGCAATTATTATCCTGAATGTATTTATGGAGTGTCCTACCATTGGTGTTATTGACATGGCAGTTCCACGCGTTATGCCTAGCATTTAGATCTCCCATTAGTATTACTTTATTATTGCTTAATAACCTAGTGAGATCACTATCCTTAAAATTATATTTGGGGCTATTATACACCGCTAACACGTCAATGTTATTAGCCAATGAGATACGAATGTGCTGAATAAAGACCCCTGCTATCGAGTTTACTTTAAACGGCACGTTGTTCTTAATGAGCATAGCCACGCCCCGTGGCATTTTGCCTGCACTTCTTTAACACAGTATACTTCCTAACCTTCAGACTATCTGTTTCCTTAATCCTAATTTCACTAAGGAGCATTATATCTACCTTATATTTGTCTGGATAGTGAATCAGTTCTCCTGTTTTGCCTCTGATTCCATTGGCGTTCCAGCTGCAAATTTTTAACGACACCATTAGTTAATTTGTTGACAGAATAGGACAAACTGTTCAAATTTTTCCATGCCCGTATGACAGTTTGCTAATTTTATATTAAGCTGCTTGACTGCACTTAGCATTTCTATAATATTTATTGTTTCATTCAGTTTATTTATCTCTTCTGTTAGTTGTGGTATATGATCCTGGCTTCCAACTGACGTTTGATGTTTAACACTATGCGTCTCAATGGGTTTCCATGGGTTCTGCATGGCTACCTTGCCCTTGCTATCACTTTCCCTGTGCCCCCTCAGTTCTGGAAATTGTTCGTTACTCCTTATGTCTATTGTCTACGCGTTTCCTCTTGTGCATGCCTGCCTTATTTTTGTCAAGCCATGCTAGCCTGTTTTGGTATGCAACGCAAATGGTTGCATTCGCAGGATGGTCTCCATCGCAGTTGATGCACCTAGCTGGTTCGGTTTTTGGTTTAGCACAAGAACCAGTGTTGGTCCATTACACTGTGTTACTTCTATTTACAAATTAGATTTTTTTCAATATTAACGGACAAGTAATACCCAATTAGAAACCCATAGAGAGGTATAATAATATAAACAGTATAAAATTCAATAATACATGGCATTTTCAGTGTTTCCAACGTGGCTAACGGTACTACTTGCTAACAGTATGTAACAATTTAAAACAAAATACATTTTACATTTTTAAGTGACACACTTTATTTTATTCTGAATATTGAAATTTAATTTAAATATAGAATATTAGTCGAGATGGGGACGATTCTACGTGAAAAAGTAGTTAAAAAAGTAGAATAAATTTTTTCTATACGACACTTCGTTTCTGAGATAAATCAATTTCGTTGGCGCACCCGACCACCATTGACTCTTTGAGCACCATTTTGTCGAAAACGGAATTCTCGAACAAAAAAATGTCATTCTTCTTTTTCGACCCAATTTTATACCTACAATAGGGTGGCTGCAAGCAAGTTTTTATTTTTTTTTAATTTTTTGTTTCATTCTAAGAAATTTTTTCACTCGTTTAAAGAAATCGAAAGTTCATATAGAAATTCAGAACTGTGACGTCAGTTTTATCACTACATTTTCTGCGCAAACCACGTTCGGAGAGAAAGAATCTACACGAGTAAATGAACGTTTTTAAACGAATTGAGAAAAAAATGACATAGAAATTGGAACGACAAAGCCTCGAATAGGATCGTTTTCGGAAATATGAAAACGTGAGTTTGGAATTTTCCTCGACGGCTCGTAGCTCGGACTTTGTAGTGTTAATATCGCGGTAAATACAGAAACAGAATCAAAAGACCGTAATTCCATATTTTCCGACGTATAATGATCCCTCGCGTAAAAAGGGGAAGCCCGCTTCGGTGGTCGTCGTGTAACATTACGAATAAGATGTTAAGTGATAGGTTTTGTCGCATTCCGGCGGTGGGAATTAATCATCATCATGTCAGTTTTTACAATATATGTAGTGATAGAATCGGGACGAAATTGAATTAATCGAGGGAACACCGTGCACACTCCACGCCGATGTCGCGACTCGCTTAATTCTTATTGGTTTCGTTAAAACGTTTCTACGCAAAAAAGAAAAAAAAAAGAAATGGTTGTCACAAGTTTCCCGGATGCAAACACCGTACGAACGTTTTTCCGTCGCGGAATAAATAACTGTAGCGCGCATTATATACGTCGAAGGCTAGATACGATTATTTATACGACATCTTTGACACTTTAATATTACTCTCTATCGGGAACGGAAGCGAGCCGCCATCTCTCCGGTACGTTCAGGGTGAAAATTTCGTAAAAATCGCGAACGCTGGCCGCACTGTAATTTCAGTAATAACAGTACTTTAGTTCAATAGGAGGCATCACAATTTTCAACCGCCGTGCCGTGTAATATAAACAATATAGAAAAATCGATTTTGTTTGAAGATGTGTGCGACGGAACAAAGTTGGCCATTTTACGAACGATGGAAGAAAATAAAGTTGATCGTTACGTGTCGTTTAAAACTTTGATTTTTAATCTGCTTCGTCGTACAGGATGATTCCAGAATTATGGACACCTTGCATCAATTTTCTAAAATCACAATGTCTTTAAATTTAAAATATTTGTCCTGTCTTTGGTAAAAATAAAGAAATCTTTCGTTGCTTTGATGATAAATAAACAAGTCTTTCGAGCAAGTTCCAGACATTTCCTGTTGCATTTACAGTTGGAAAAATATTATGCATTTTTCTTTTACGTAAATCGATTCTTCTCGTCATTTTGCATATAAAAGGCTTCGGTCACGAACATTGAAAACGCAATAGTTTATGAGATCTTTCATATTTTATGTTAGGATATTAATTTATCCCAGCAGGTGTTCGAACGTTCCATTATGAACGATTAAACGTTTTATTGCTGGCTTCCTTTTATCTTCCATTACATTCTTAAGTTGAGTAGTAGATAGAATCGTGCAATTAATTTTAATTTTAACTTTCCTGTTATTGATTCGAACAAAAGACTGCAAATTGTTTTAAAAAGATTACCAAAAGAAAAAAACGAGTTGATTCAAAATTATATCTTGCAAATGTTTAATAATAGGTTACCAAGACCATGCGAGAATTGAGAATTATTATTACTTTCATATTGTATTATCTGTAAAATAAAAGTTTTTATTTTTAGTAATACTAATTTTTTAAGTCCCATAGATACGTTTCAAAGAAAACATTTCAAAAATTTAGTTTCAAATTAGAAAGCTACTATTTCAATACTAAAATCATTGTTATATTCGATTTTAATTGGAATGAAATTCCGGCATCGTTAACTTTTCTTTGCTCGACAAAAGTGTTAATTAGCTATTGGAATGTTGGTTTGACTAGTTCTTTGTATAATTCTTGAATAAACAGCTTTACAATTCTTAGTCGACGTTTGCAATTAAAAGATTTAATTATCCAATGTTCTAAATAAACCTATCGAATATTTACGTATAATAGATATTTTAAAAAAAACAGTCGATTTTCAGAATCATGTTAAATCAGAATATTGTATTGAATGGAAATTGAGTGTGACTACAAAGATATTCTTGATACAATTTCTGATGCAAATGATGCTCGAAATGTTGTCCATTACGCTCAGTGCGCGAGCATAATCGGTGAGTGAGAGTGATACACGTGGAAGTGCTTCTGTAGTTATAGTATTACATGCTATAATGATACGTTCTCGAATATCGTCTGCAGAAAGACTTGAACGCGTGTCACTCTCACTCATTAACCGATTATGCACTTAGGTAGGCTATAATGAACAACATTTCAAGCATCATTTGCATATTATATTAAGAATATCTTAATAGTTGTTCACTTTCGTTTAGTCACGAAGCATTCGATACTTTTCCGAATTTCAATATAAAAATGAAAGTAAAATTAACAGTCTACAATAACGTTTTTAAATATTGTTCGTATCAATCTTTTTTAACCAGTGTTGAAACTCCTTATATCTTTTTTCATAGAAATTTTTTAAACACATTTGTTAGATTCTTTTGATTAAAACAAAACCAAATATTATATCATTTTTATTATATTTACATACTTATTTAACAAGCACGCAGGTATATTATTAATAAGAAATTAAATATAATCACATTACTCATCTTTTATTTGTTACATATGTTCCAAATTGTGTCACGTTTGGTTTAATTTCGATCAGAAAAGCTTTTACCAACAAAAATTCGATAAGAGTTTTGTAACTGGAAAAATTTAATTTAATAGTTTGCGACTGGTTATCAAGGATTGTAGATAACGTCGAGTGTCTGGCTCGAACCATCGGTATTAGAGGGCTGGGTGAGGGGGATAGATCGTGGTCATACAAGCGGATAAATAAGATTGCCATATATCGAGACACCACTGTACTATCAGTGTGCAAAATCGCATTAAAATCCAAGCGATCGATCGCGGAGTCCTTCCCTCGTTAGAACAGAATTATAGCCCGATCCAGTTACGGGGACTCACCCTGTATAATCCACCACTGGCGGATATATCAATTATTGGCCGATATTGCCTCACAATTCACGGCATGCATCTACTTTGGCTCCTTCTTAAAACACTTTTGCTCGAGACAGGCACCTGCAGATAAGTCGCATTCCGGGGAAAAGACTCTCGTTTAGCTTATCCATCCGTCAGAATGCTAATAGATAATACTGGTTCGAAAACGAGTCGATTCCTCGAGGTGACGAGCAACGCAACTTTTACGTTAATTTATATCCCCGGCGGGATTGTATTTAATTGCCTGGCCAAGTAGTGCAGAATGTTGCAACAGTGTGCCCAGGAGTCTAACAACGGGCAGCTGTTTCAAATTGCAATGCGAAACGAGTTTGCAAATACACGGTATCGCATCGGTAGCTTGTAAGATGAAGGAAATATTCGTTGGATAAAGATGGAAGGAAAGGGGGCTTCCATGGTACACGGGTAAGAAAAAATGCATAACTGCAGATTAGTAATTTATAGGTGGCACGGAATTCATGATCCGCCGCTAGATCCGCGCGCTGAAGCAACGAGGGTTGTAATCTGCACAGTTTGAAGTCTTACGTGTGTGTAACGTATTGAAGTTTTTAGCCCCGCCGCTGGGGGAAATTACGGTTCTCTGGTTAATTAAGGATTAATTCGATCGGGTTCGGTCCAGTCGTCCCTCTATCGCGATTATGATTATTAAGACGAAAAAATCCATATAATAATCTCTTATATAAGAAAAGATATTGACTCTTTATGCTAATTAAATCTTACAAGGTAATCTGAACGGTGATTCATAACGTAACGACATGGAAAGATCAAATATGCACGAAATAGGAAGACAAGTATGTAATTTTATTAATTACTTTCATCACTTTTATAATAAGACGAGATGTGGCACCTTTACTGTTGAAGAATTTCTGCAACAACAGGCATTTTGTTTGTGTTGAAAAATATCAAGTCCTCTTGTATAGGAACTGATTGGATAAATATACATATATAGACAATATTAAAATGTTAAACACAACCACATTAATTATTCTTTACATATTACATAGGTTAATATAAATAAATTGCAGTAATGCCGACCATGCGGCTCGAACAAACGACTCGACTCGAACAAAAACCACGGGAATCCCGGCACGATCTTCAACCTTATTGCAAGTGTCGCCAGTTAGCCGCGTGCTTATTGCCTCGAGATTATGAACGGCTCAACAGATTGTTCCGTGTCCTTCCCGTAAATCAATGTTAACTTTCCGAACATTTCTTTTGATGATTAACAATTTAAAATGTACATCTGTGGTTTTCTATCGATCGACATGATTATTGTTTGCTGGGTCTTAGCATCGGTCAGTTCCCATTCTTGTTACTTTGCATCAGTCCAATCTTCTTTCAGTACATTCTTCCCGATTACTGTATCATACGCTTTCATTGCTTTAAACAATATCATAATTTGAAATCTCCAAATTTAGAAGTTAGTCTCGTCCTTTAATTTCTTATTTTCACAACCACGTGCTACTAACTCGACAAAGATACCTTTAATTTAATTTATATCTGTTTTAAGTGTTGGGATGTTAAATAATGTCACTTGCACACATAACTCAATACATGCATGCATACATACATACATACATAGTAGGTACATTTGTCTCAAGACAATAGATGTCACGCGTCTGTTTACCTGCGTACATTTATAATTTCATTAAAAAATATCAGTCGACAACTTTGGTATAAGATGATACAAGTGCATCCAAATCTAACGCAAAATCATGAAAATTTAAAAATTCTAATTTAAATGCGGCACGTGTTTCTGTTGTCTAATTTCGCTGAAATTTTTCACAGAACTTTCTCTGGGAGGGGGGAAAGGGGGAGGGGGGGTCGTCAAAAAGTAGACACGTTACGATGATAATTAACACTTTGACTGCTATGTCATCCATATATGGTTGACAGGATTTTTTACTATGGAACTAGAATAATTAATTCTCAGGATGAAATGTTAAAGTTGAAATTTGAATAGGATTCATGAATTTTAGTGAGGTTATAAAAATAAATGGTAAGGCAAATTTTAAGTTATGTAGCTTACAATTGTCTAAAATCAAAGTTTTGGTCCCGCAAAGAATTGTATAGTTGTGGTCTGGCAGTCAATGTGTTAAGAGAGTGTCAAGAGCACGTGTAACGAAGCTCCATAATCTCGAAAGAGCCTCTATCCACGAGGCATCGATTGGTCTAGAAGAAATCGATGCGCGCGCACGTCATCCATGCGCAGATGACAATAATTGGACCCAGGATACAATTCCGTTCGATGCACTCATAGGTTAATGTGAGTCATAGTTAGTCGCATCGGAACTGTTTGTGAGAGTGGTGCTGCCATTCTAAGTAATTATTTCTCCAACATTCTATTATCGCCTCTTTGTTTGGATCATCAATTTCAGCGTCTCCTGTAGATAAAGCAACGCCTATTAAAAATTGTGCAATTCTCTCGTAAGTGCATCTAATTGAAAAGAATTTTTGTTTATCGTTCAATAGCAGTAGAATATTGTGTGTAGTTGTTTTTACTGATTATAGTTGGTAGCGTTGGAACGAAGATATGAGGGGGAATCCCGTGGTAGAGTGCCCGGTAGTGTGTAATGGCGTTGTGAGGGAACATGTGTAGAAATACCTATGTACGTTCACTGTTAAAATAGAAATAAATATGTTGAAATAATAATGAGTTGTTTAGAATTGTCTAGAATGAACCAGACACAATGCCAACATATTGAAGAAACGTTGGATGTAAGATTGTTTCTCATTCATAGAAGAGTTTATATAACTATTTTTGTTTGAATATTACACTAATTTGAACCATCGTTGTCGTACAAAATCAAAAATGGAAGTATTCAAGATAAACGACTGTTAGATGTAATGAAGGACATAAATGTCCTGGGAGGTTAGAACAGTCTTAAACATCGTATCACTTGCAACACCGGGAAGTCGAACACGAACGTATATTTACGTAATTTTGCATCAGGAACCGCCACATAATTCTTCGCGAGTGACACATCCCCGAAGCAAAAGTATTGATATATTAGTGAAGATACGTCGACGAAACGAGAAAATTGTGGGTTTTATGTTCTGACACTTTTGCAGGGGGAGTGCAAAGTGTCGGTGTTATAGTGATAAATTGCTACCTGTGACGACATTTCCTTGCCTTTTAGTGGGTATCTGTTGCTCCAGGAATTTATTAAATTCATACCATATTCGCTGGCCAATCTATTGGTCATACTTTGTATTCGGTAATACTAGTTTTTAAGCACGTTTTGTACATCGAACTCGACTCTACCATTGATTATATTTATTCAGAACGATTAACAGGCTACAGAAATTTAATTTCATCCTCCAACGAAAATTAAAATTTATTAGTAATAATTCGGATTAATTTTTATTATATACGCGTGAAAGTTGTTCAATAATACTGTGCTGATTTAATTTTATTGAATTTTAAATGTAACTTGCGTCTGGCCATGCATGGTTTCATACCACTTAAAATTTAATTCAGGGTATAAGTGGCGTATTAAATTGTGATAATATTTTAATATAATGTAAAAAACTATTATTCGTTAACAGATGTTTGTTTATACATTTGTATGATTTTTAATAAGAAATAAAGATTTTAAAATAGGAGAATTTTAATTGTCTGGAATTTATGTTCTATCAAACTCGAGTTCGATTTGTCGATAGTATCTGTGGAATAAAAAAAATGTTATTTGTTTAAATACATAAACGATCGTATAATACATATAATTGTGGAAAAAAATTTAAGGACGCGCTAGAAACGATCAAATTAATTATAAATTTGTTTTCGAGCTGCTTCGGAGTAATAGTATATGTATATCGCAAAGGATTATTATCTGCTAACACTAATTGGTTATAAAACGTATTATAATCTTTAAATTTCTTGATTTTTAATTCGTAATATAACATGGTAGTTTACATACTAATAGTTCTTATTAAATGTAAAGTAAACCGGAAAACGCGTAGGATTAGTCGAGAAACCAGAAGTCGTACTTTTAGCTCCAATCAAATGTCATATCGAAGCAATTTTCACATTTTAATTTATCGTGTCTCAAATTCTATATTTTATGCTAGCCATTTGTTTGTATAATTAAATTATAAATAAATAGGAAGAAGCAATTCCAAGATGTAGAATAAAAATATGATATTTAATTTTAAATTAAACTATATTACGCTCAGAAATTTTTATTTGCACTAAATAAAATATAAATTTGTGAGGCGAGATAGTAGTAATCTTATAACAAAACTTGATAGTGGAAAATGTTGCTTCGATGCTTAAAATTGAAAAAAAAGAAAAAGAAAAGAAAATTAAATTTCTACTAAAATCGCCTTCCGGTGTTACTATAGAAAATCACCACGTATGCTTTAAATATTTTTATATTTAAACCTTGCAATATAATAAAAATTGAATTATTTTCATTTTATCGAGACTAGAAATAAAGTCATCGTTGCAAATGATAAATATAAAATTAACAAATCTATTATTTTCTCTCAAACATTTTTTGATAACTCTTTAGGATATCCCGAATTGCATGTAATTGGAATTATTTGTTGAACATTGTCCTATGTTTGTATAAATGAATGGCTGCCAGTAGGAAGATTACGATCGCCCATGATAGCTCGCATCGCGGTAACTGTGTTTACATGTTCAGCGAGATTTACATCAAACAGGTGTCACGATCTGGTTCACGCTTCACGGTTTCGATCGCGCCTCTAATCGCAACGACAGCAACGCGTCCAGCTTGGGCGAGAGTTAAGATAAGAGAGAACGCTTAGAAACGTTAGTGATAAAAGAGAATTCATGTACTCTCGATTCGTTAACGGCGAAGAAAAAGCATAGCCAGTATCCAGTCACGATATCGTTTGAGGAGATATGTTTATACCTAAACTGCTAGGCTATGTTCGCCAGAAGTCCTATCGAGGGAACAGTCGTGCGTAACGTGTAAATAAAGTATACGATCAGTCATACGAGACTGCTCTTACACCCCACGCGATACGAGAAACAAAAATAAATTAGAATGCACGACGTTGGACAGTTTATCTTTACAATGGTGGCAAGCGGTTTGTCCGGCCACGGTTCTGATTCGCTGGTTGACAAAATGAGTCGTTTTTACGAACGTGTGTTCTCGAAACAAATTATCACAAGAAAAAACATTCAAACTTGGCATCGTGATTTACAGCGACGCTTGGATTACTGCGAGTCGTTTTCGATTGGATAAGTGAACGGTAGTCATCCCTATCGCATCAATTTGATCTGAGCTCGAATGTCAGTGAAACAACACATAATGCAAAGATGAAACTTTTTTATTTTTTGTCTTTTTTTACATGAAACTTTTACCAATATATTGGTGAGAGTTTTTTGAGTAACATAAGACCAAACACGATATAATTTGTTTTTAACCTACTCCTGATAGAGTACAAAATGTTGTTAAATACGCAAATATCCAAATTATCGTGTATGGTCCTGTTTTAATCAGAAAAGCCTGACGAATATATTAGTAAAGGTTTAATAAACAAAAAATAAATGAATAAATTTCACATTATCGTTTCGTAAAAAGTTTTAAATTAAACCGGAACCATAACAGATTCTACTGGACGTTATCAGAAATTGTTAGTAACGCCATTTATAGTCAGGGAAGTGCGATGGTCGCTCGGTTATAGACGATACGACTCTTGGTGAAATACGTGACATTATAACGGAATATTTTTCGAACATCTGCTAGGAAAAAGTTTCCTTATATAGGTAGTCGTACAACAAATAGCGCAGCCACTATATTACCACCTGTAAAATACTCGAAGAATTTAATTTATGGCCCCGGTTGCTTCACAAGGATATGGATAAAACTCACGGGCTGGTCACTGCAACCGTGTTACGTGCTGGTAGAAGCTTTCAAAAAAGTGTCAAGTACTCTGAGGAATCGTAACATATTGCCGCGATTGTACGAAGTGTCTCATGTAGCAAAAAGTCAGACATTCCCACTCAAAATCGATCTGAATAATTTCCAAAAATTTGTTAACCTTTAGGCCAAGGAACAACAAGTTCATACGTACGTTCATGTACCTCTTCAAGCTAATTGGGAGCCATTAAGGAATTAAGTAGACTTTTGAATAGGTAAATATCAGATGACACTTACAGAGGAGAGCACACAGTGACCTATTTGGATTTTAATGTGCTTTTGCAGGAAATATTCAATGTAGATACTCGATTTTGGGTGTTTTTGTATTGGAAGAAAATATGTACCAAATAGGAGTAGGATTATACAGAACTTATAATTATTTATATTTTAAAAATTATTGAGTATCTATACCTAATATTTCACATGGACCAACAGAGACCACTCTGCTATTATTCTGCAAAAGCACATTAAAATCGATGTCAGTCAGTTCGTGCCCTCCTCTTATCAATGTCTTTTTTGAAACGTTGGCAATAATAAAAATTTCGAAACTAGCTTCATAGGTAAACGAAGGTCAGCTTGAGTTTTTTTTTTGGTTGGGATCACATTTTGAGAATTTTACTTTTAGACAGTGTAAATCTTTCAACAGGCAGATTGGTATTTTTAATTTTTAATATTATGTGTTTCTTTTTTCTTTTATTATTAGTTGATCTGTTGCAAAAAAGTCATTTGGAACTTCAGTTTGCACGAAGTAAAAAATCACATTTTTGTTAATAAAATATACAAGAAAAAGTGTTGCAAAAAGCTTATTGCAGCGCACCCTTCAATTACAGACATTTCTTAATACGTATACCTTCTTCGCATCTTCCGACTCGACGAACTTCGCAACACGCGATGAATTCGATTGTGAAAAATCGCGAGTCGAAGAACAAAAACTTATTTACGACACGTCTCGGTGATGTTATCGATAACTGTCGGATTTTATCGTGGTTTTTATGCAAGGCGTGCGTTCGATTGCTCGTCCTTTAGCGCAATTCGATTCCCATAATCGATACCTTGGAGTAGCGGCGCGCTGGAAAATTGTGAAGAACGTTCCCAATGTATACTTTGTATTTTCATGGGGCGAAAAATACGAATGATTACACCGCGATCGAGTCAGAACGAGTCGAAGCAAGCTACATCCGGCCCCTCGAGGATAAATGGGCTCCCTTGGTTATTAGCATCTGGAAAATTTCGAACAAAAACGATCGTTCTTGGTGGTCTTTTAATAAATACCTTAGACTAATTCGCGAATAGTCAGGAAGCTAACCCTAAACCATTTTGGTTTCCGTTTGCTCGAATAAATGATTTGTTGAGATACTTGCAATTTATAATAAATCTAATTCAAGGATAAATAAACGATCCACTGTGGGCGTTCTTAGCTAGCGATTTATAGGTTTCCAACGAAAGAAGCGAGGAATACTTTAGATAAAGTTTTAACCAACCTATCGGACCAGTTTTTTCCACTTCACTTAACTACACTTACGACTCTTAAAATCATCCAGTTCCAACATTTCTTGCATTTGATGGTTGGTTTAATACCGCGAAAAATAAATACATTGCGATATTTGAAGCAAATTTTTTGTTAGATATTCTATTATTATTAATAAAACTTAGCAAAACATTTTTTTTATACATCAGTTGATGTATATTTTTATACTCTATAAAAAAGTATTAGAGTTCTTGGGTCGAAAATTGATCAGTGTAGAAGTTATGGCTTTCATTCCAAATTCCCATATATGCGATACACTATGCCACGTGATGATTGTAATATCGGTAAAACAGTTTATTGATTTGTCGGTAAATGTAAACAATTAGACTCAAAGATTTGTCGGTAATTCACCTCTTTTTTACCGACAATATTATGTATTCCTATAGTTTGCTATGATGGTACTTGCAATATTTTTAAAAATATTCTCACTGCTATTATTGAAGTTTTCAAAACATAGAGTCCTTGTAGCGGAAATGACTCGATCGTATCATGAGCATTGTAATTAGCTTCATCAGCAGATCAAAGACTCACTGATTTTGATGAATCATGCTCCTACGGAACTCATCAACTGTTTACGTTTTATACAGTTAATTTCTCTGCTATAAAAGTAACTGGAATTCACATTCTTTATAAAAATGACCTTTGACGAAAATATCACGATTTAAAGATTTGAAAACAGCTAACTTAATTTCCAAACGCAAATCGTTAAAGTACAATTGCAAAATTTGTACCGAAATAAGTAACGAACTTTTGTAACATTCATAGGTGCACGCAAAAGTTCGAATCCCTCCAAAAATAATTTTTAGTAATATTGATAAATTAACACGCAAAATAACAATTTTATATCAGGAGTTAATTAAAACTAAGGAGTTAATGAAAAACTATGTCAACAATTTCATGTTACCAATTTGCATATTCTAGATAAATCTATAATGTTTTATAGTTTACAAAAATCGTGAAAAACCATGGAAACAGCTTTTCGTCCCTTGATCGTCGAATTAGTTTTATTTATCGTGAGATTTTATCGTATTATATTCTCCAAACACCAACAAACATTTCGAAACATTCTCTGTTGCATATATAAATAAATTCAATCGCCTCGATTAGATTTATGTTTTCTTTTTTTATTTTTATATATGTTACCAGCAGTGCTACACTATTACACGAGGAAATATTTCATTTAAAATTTATTCAACTGGATATCTTAATAAAATTCTAATATTTGGAGCAGGTGTCGTGTTTGTAATTATTCCTGTTAGAAATTTTAAATACTTGCTCAATTTTGGTTATGTGAAACGTGAATGATTAATAATTTTATTATAACTAATTGAGTGTGTATTTAACAGATTCTCATACTACTTCAAACGCACTCAAACGTATTCTAAAATCTTGAGTGTGTAATGTTTTATAGTTTACAAAAACCGTGAACGAGTCTGCGAATCATTGTTGTAATTTAGTATTATTTCTGTTTTTAGCGATATTTCAAAGAACATCGGTGTCCAGAGGTCAGTTGAGGATCCAAGGTGTCGCGACCTGCCTGTACCTGTGCATGGATTCCTGTGGTCTTCTTTACGGCTCGGTAAGTCAGGCTACTCATGGGAAAAAGTTGCTCTTCCTTTCGATAAAATGGCCTCGTAGCACGCCTCCGACATACGGCGCGCGCATTCCTGAAGAAGAAAATCGAGCGGCTGAGTGCCACGCGACTTCGACCACGTCTCCGCCTCTTTCTATTCCGTAATACGCTATCGCGGCATCTAAATTACAGAAACGCAACGGGGGAAAAAGGAAATGGCCACGCAAACGTTGCTCCGTGTACACCGGGGGATCGAATCTTCGATATTTTGTTTGAGGAACAATTTTATTTTCATCCCCCATTATCGTGCGCTTAGAATCGTCGTAATCGAATCAACATACACTACGAAACAAAAAGTTAGCACGCGTCTTAATATATCGACGCGTGTTAATTTCTCGGGTTAATTTATCGACGTTTCCGTTTATCGGTAAGTCGGTAAAACTATCGGTCGAAACCGGTTTGCCGATAATTTGCCGACATTTTTGAAAATATTGAAAATATAAAAATAAATATTGCATTTAAAAAACAGTTTATTTCATTCTAATCAAGAATTATAAAGTATGGACTTCAACTTTAACGTTGCCGTTAACTCGTCTTCGTCTGCATTTGAGTTTTTTAATTACATACATTGTTTAATAAATCTGGCAACTATTTCGTTTCTCCATCACGAACCTTGCAAGTCCAACTTTCATTGTATTCTTTTTATACGTGAGAAATATAAAATATTGCTATATTCGATTTATTTAATTGTCGGTAAAAAAGAGGCGAATTACCGGTAAATCTTTGTGACTCATTTTTTACATTTACCGACACATCAATAAACTGATTTATCGATATTACAATCATCGCGTCGCACAGTGTATCGCGTATATGGGAATTCGAAATAGTTCTTCTAGACTGATCAATTTTCGACCCAGGAATTCTAATACTTTTTTAAAGAGTATACAAAGATACATCAACTGGTGTATAGAAAAAATGTTCTCTTAAATTTTACAACTACAATTTTTGACAACTGATTATTAACTTTTGTTCGAAAAATTTTGGTAATGATTTAATTTGAGTATTAAATGACGTATTGAAACAAACAAAAATGCAGTTATTCAGTATTTCCAAGAAACACCTTAGCTCAGACACTTCGGACAACCGGTAGACAAAGTATTGTGATTCGATCTCTTCGACTGGAACAGTCGCCCGACATTAAGTTGTCTTACAACATTCGCATCGTTGTACTTTGCCATAAACGGGATTTACAACTTCGTGAAGTTCCAGTCGCGACATACACGTCCTGAATCACGAGCTGTTTTCAGGATTAGTAAAACATCGGGTTTACGATGCAGGATGATTCCTTTGATATTTTCTATAGTAAAGGTTTTTGTAACCATTTTGAAATTTAGAATATTAAATTAAATTGAACAATTTTGGCATATATATTTTATTATTTCGTTTCAATAAATTTTCATGAATATTCCCTACAACCACTTCTTTATTGTGTATTCTTTTTCTTTTATTTTTGTGTATACAGGGTGGGGCAATAACTATGCCCACCTTGAATATCTCCGTTATTTATAATAATATTAAAAAATTTTATATACAAAACTTGCACGGTACAGAGGGGGGCACATTGTGATATAAACATTTTTCGTGTGGGTGGATGCATAGAGGAGATTTCAAGGTCACCTCCATTTTTTAAATGAGATCATCCTTTTTGAAACACCTACAATGATAGTCCCTTTCATTAGGAAGTCAGTGACTATAATTATTCAAGGTCATTCAAGGTCATTCAAGGTCATTCAAGGTCACGGTCAGAGAAAATGTATAAAATTTAAAATATGAAAGCAGAATATCTGTGTTTCATAAATGTGCAAAATGATGGCCATTTTCGTTGATACATTGCTGTAAACGAGCTCTGAAGGAATGTTGAACTCTGACAAGTACATCCGAAGTGATAGTCGCACATGCTGTGATGATCTGCTGATGCATATCTTCAACTGCTGTTGAACTGCATTCGTGTATACGGTCTTTTTTAGCAGACCCCACAAAAAGAAATCCAGTGGATTTAAATCAGGCGAATGTGCTGGCCATGAGACAGTACCACCTCGTCCAATCTATCGTTTTGGAAACCTAGAGTTCAATGTTTATCTCACTACTCGTGCATAATGGGCCGGACAGCCATCGTGTTGGTACCACATATCATAACGGTTTTGTAGAGGGATATCTTTCAACAAAATTGGCAGATCTTCTTGCCAAAATTGAGAATATGTTTGCCCTGTTATCGTTCCGGTAACGAAGTATGGTGCGATTACTTTATCGTTCAAAATACCACATCACACATTTACGCTCCATTGTCGTTGGTGATCAACTCTTCGAAGCCACTGCGGATTATCAACAGACCAATGATGGACGTTCCGTAAACAAGACATTAGAAAAAAATGAATGATTTTGATGTAATCCCCATTGACAAAAATTAATTCGACATTGAAGGACCTTAGTATGTTTACTACAAGTCTCACTTGCGATAAACGTATTTTGCTTCCATAGTTTGCATCTTATACATTTTCTTCGACCGTGACTTTGAATGACCTTGAATAGTTATAGTCACTGAATTCCTAATGAAAGGGACTATCTTTGTAGGTGTTTCAAAAAGGGTGATCTCATTTAAAAAAAATGAAGGTGACCTTGAAATCTCCTCTATGCATCCACCCACACGAAAAATGTTTATATCACAATGTGTCCCCCTCAGTACCGTACAAGTTTTGTATATAAAATTTTTTAATATTATTACAAATAACGGAGATATTCAAGGTGGACATAGTTATTGCCCCACCCTGTACAGTATATGTATATAATACAAGATTATATATACAAAAATAAAAATAATAAAAATAAAAGAATATCCATAAAAACTTATTAGAATCAAAATATAAAGTATATATAACAGAAATTCTTAAATTTAATTTAATGACCAATGGATTGTAAATTTGCATTATTTGCGCAACGACCGGCGGGGTCATTTTAGACCCAGGTGTAAGTTATATTGGTTGTTTTGAGAAATTTGATTTCGCTGCGTTTTTGCGGAATTGTCGCGACTGGAAGTACCCACCGCGCCACCGACGTCGCAAGATCGCGCGTAGGAAATCCATCCACAGGATTTCGAGCGCGACAGAACAAATCGGTGGTGCACGTACGATCAATTTCATCGACGTTTTCGAGACTTAATTAAAACCGATGACGTTTGATCGAAACAGGATTCGATACAGGAGCAGCTGTGCGAGCCTGAGAAACTGGTTTAGCCCTTAACTACTATCGTTCTCTGTTTCGTTCCTCTTTTTTTAACCCCGCGTCGCTGTAACTAGTACCGAACAAAAGGAACGCGTTTCCTAGGGGTTGATACACTCTTGACTGTGTACCATTTCGCAGGAGGATGCGTTTAATGGCCGATTGATCTTGTGCGCTTTTGCGATTTTTCCGAAATTCCCGCGGTCGTGACGAGGAAATTGGAATTTGATTTGCAGCGAATTTTTGAAAAATAATAATATCTTGGATTTTGACGAAGATTTTTCGTGGCCGGTAATTACATGAACGTGAGCTGAAGAATGCAAATAAATTGCGATTTGAGAAGTACATACATTGAAGAAATATTGAATTATGCCTAACAAGTGTCATACTTCGATTTTGATGAAACTTGGTATACTGATAGAGTATTGAAAAATATTGGACACGTATTTTTCTCAGCCGCAGATATTCATATCTAGGGGGTGTTTTGCATCCCTTAAGTTGGGGGTGGAAAACACATTTTCTTAAATATCTTGGAAACTAACGAAGGTAGAAAAAAATGTTTAACATAAGAAATATATGATTTCTCATGAGCAATAAAATGGTATAAATATAAATGTCACTGACAAGGAACCATCGCGAACGGTCCGGCTTCGATTTTGATGAAACTTTGTACACTTATAAAGCAGCCAAAAATAATCGACACGTATTTTTTTTTAGCTGCAGTAACTCGAGTTTAAGGGGTGAAACCACCCCTTGAAGTTTTGGCTCGAAACGGCTATCTCGAAAACGGAAAGAGATACAAAAAAATTGTTAATGGGCGAGGTTAATGGTTTCCTATGTACAATAACATGGTGTTAAAAAATTTAAAAAAATACAATTTGTTTATAACAAAAAAAATTTATTAACTTAATTTTTCATTTTATTAAAATTTTCATAATGACAAAAAATGACGAGCATTTTATTCCAAATCCATTGGTATGCGATTTTTTAAAATTGCCTCTTACAGTTTTGCAGATTTTGATGATTTACATCTTGCGCGCACATTCATTATGGTAGTAGCCGTTCTAACTTTGATTTTAATGAAGCACTGTAGGCTTGCACTAAATTATACAGTAATAAGTAGCGAGTAATAATAACAGTAACAAGTTTCTTAACAGCAACGAAAGGATTAATTATTTTTATTGCCCACCTATGACATCGTGGCAAAGGTGGAGCGATTTATAAATTATAAATATATGCAGTGTGTATAACAATTATTCTATATAGTTCCGACAATAGTGGTACTCGTCGAGAAAATGTTTGAAACATAAAGATTTCTTACACCATGCGCATTTAATTATTGCCACGTCACCGCAAATATGACATGTTGGCTCATTTTCAACAGAGTAGCAGTACTCAACAGGATTCTGGAATGCATTTGGCTTTTCATCTATACATATATCCGGATTTATACCAGGAGTATTTAATAAAATTTTGGAACCTTGGCGATCAAAATTGATTGTGAACCAGAGATTGAAGTTTAATTATATTATTCCTAGCGTGGAGATTAATGTCGTGATTTAAAACGAGAACTATATCGGAAAATCGGCGGACGAAATTTTTCCAAGTGCGGAAACCGTAAACATCCAATGGTTGAACATACTTTGTTCCACCTTTTGGTATTATAAAAAGTTTTACATTTTTACCCTCGGGAGTAACTTCGTTCGCCGTCTTCTTACAGTGACCACTCC